GATTGCCCGCAACACACTGTGCCGGAGCAGGTGTGGTAGGACACGGGGGCGAGATGATAAGACCAAAGTGCAGTCGGTCGGCCCCCAGGTACATGTGGTTCCTGGCAAACTCGAGACTCCTGGATAGTTGGCTCGGTGATCAATACCTCACTTTAGCGGGTGAGTGAGGTTTGTGTAAGGAATAAATCACCAGCTGGTTAGGAATCGATTCGAATCGCCATCGCTCCTGGATAGTGAGCACTTGACTTGAGTTACTTCATCGTAGTAATGTTAATGGAACACTTGGACAGTTATAATGCATATGACAATATGGAAGTGGTTAATGATCATTGGTTATCATTATTGGCTTAATCACATGTTTGCTCTAGTATAGGTGCAAATCTAGTCGACAGGTTATAATTAATTAACTTAGCAATAATGTCTTTAGAAAGGTTTTTGAAATGCCAAAAATGCTTTCTTTGTAAATGAGTCAGCTATCCTACTATAAAGCCCTTCATAATCCTTGGTGTCACTTTATTTTCGGTTATGTCGGGTAAGTCTAGCTGAGTACCTTCTCGTACTCAGGGTTTTATTCCCACTTGTTGCAGATGGGCAGATGTATTACGGCTACTGTATCAACTGCCTCTATCCTGCGATGGGTGATGCTTAGGACCATGGGCATGGTCATTCCGTACATCTCGTTTAATGCTTTTGTTGGAGATGACCATCAGCTGGCACTGTATTTGAACTCCATGTGAGTGCGTGTGGTTTTAAACAAATGGCTTCCGCTACTTTTATTTAAACTCGTTTTGTAATAACTATGTTTAAACTCTGATGTATCTGAGATCAAACTTTTATGTAATATGTGATGGTGACCGCTAAACTTATTACGATCTTGGCTGGAATGGAAGTTGGTTTGAAATCCTTCGTGATTTCACGGACTACCGGGTTATACGGGCTTAAGTTTGCTAAATCGTCTGCTCTGGCGGATGATTTTCTTACTTAATTTCGTATAATTGGTCGGTTCTGTTACATAGGGCAACATAGTTAAATAGATAAGTACAACTATTAGCAAAATTATTTTGGAGTAAAAATACCTAAATGTTACTATGAAAAAGCTAGCTACCAACGGTATTTACGCAGGTCACCTTGCTGGTTCAAAACACCAAAGGAACATATTTTTGGCTTGTTTTTTAAAATAAAAATTTGAATGATATGAAATATGATATTGCAAAATAAGTAAACATGGATGCAAAAAAGAAAAGGAAGCAGACGATACAATATACCAAACTGACACGTAGAAGTGTAGCAAACCTTATTATGTTGAGCATTATACAAGTACAAACAGGCCAGCTATAACAATAATGATCCAACCGATAAATAACAGGAAAGGGAAGGAAATCTATCGATGTTGTGCATTTTGTTTGGTCATTTGATTGACTAGTATATTTGCCCGTGCTAACGCTACAGTGACATTTGGTAATGCAAATCAAACAACCAAAAATGATCTACCTGCACAATACATAGTTTCAAAAGATCTTGATCCAATATTACTACGGAACACCCACCTCTTTGTCAAAAAGAACTTTATTATCACGGATTCAACAATATCATTACAAAACAAGACTCTTGACACAAAACTAAAAACAATACTCAGTCTTTGTCATGACATATTGGGGCATTTGGAACACCTAGGCCACCACCAGCACCTAGATCATACTTAGTGGAACTGTAGGATTAATTTCTTTTGGCATGAATCTTAACCTATCTCACTATTTACTTTATTTAAAAAAATGTTTTTTTCTTTTTGCTTTTACCATAGCATTAGCACAGGTATGCTACTATAATAACTAATCATCCATTTGTTGGCATGATTGCCCTAGAAAGGACACCAATTAGCACGAGGAGGAAGGGAGATTATTACCGTTGTGCTTTTTGCGGGGCTAACTGCGGACAGAACAATGAAAGTGGCAACCTCATTCAACTGCAAGTAGAGAATCTTTAGATCTTTTTTTATCTTATATATAAGTTCCTCTGCTGTATCAAGGTGCACAGCCTCTACCAAGCTTGTGTGTTTGTGTGGCCTGACAAGCTCCGTGCAAACATAAAACACCCCCTCAGAAACACATCTTTCCTTTAATTTTTGAGGTAGCCAAAATAACTGCAGTATTATTGACATAGTAGAATGCATGTGCTAATGATACGACGACATTTAATGATGTATTTAAAAATAACAAAAAGATTATGCTTCCATATTCAGGAATAAAATGGTAATTTTAAGATTCATGCAAAAAGAAATGAAACTTCCTACTACATTGTTGGATACACAACCATTTTCAATTTCTTTCTGCAAATATATTCCACGAAGTTAACATACCACACAAAAAGATTTGATTCAGCACTCATTGAGTGTAAAATTTGGAAATGCAACCCAACCATGACCACGGAATGAGCGCACCTGCAATAGTAATATGAATGGATTAAAGCCATACCTGCAACTGCAATATTAATATTGTTACCAGTAACAGCAGATGTAGCTGATCACCATGCAGAGCGGGTCTAGCCACACCCGCGGCGGGTCCGTCCACACCCACGGCTGCGCGCAGCAGCAAGGCAGACTGGGAGACGACGACGCTCTGCGCATCGGGTGACCTTGGGGTGGATCCAGGCCTTTGGAAGGCGGATCCGGCGGAGACCGCGGCGGCAGCAGCCCAGCCACCACGCAGAGCCGGTCCGGCCGCAGCCTAAACCATAGTCAAGCAACCATAGTCCAAAACTTTGTGAACAAATGATGGACCAAAATCATCGACATCAGATCATGATTCAGCATTTGATGTATCACTTAACATGCCCTGCCACTGAATGAGGCCAATATAGTAGTAGTTTAGAACAAGAATCCAGAAAAGCAATCAACTTCTTGCAATACTACTAATAACAAAGGCTGTAATTTTAGAATATTACTTTCATCTGTTCCAACCGAAAGGAGGAGTTGCTTTATTTCTTCCCCCTCATAAACAGGTTTGATTTCCCTCACGCATCCAGCTTCCAAATTGTGGATCAGCTACAAATAATATAAACAAGGACAACATCTAGATAAACTATTTTCAGGTAAAGACAAAACAGTAAATGTCACCTTCAATATATAAGAATCATTCCACCGTCCGAACTTGAGAAGAAGAAATTCTATTAATCATTTAGAGCTTCTCCCATTACGCTTGATCAGACACCGAGTATGCCAACAGCAGGCTGCATAATAATCAAATCGAAGTTGCAAAATAACACCAGCTTGTCGTTGGTTATCCATAGCAAAAAAAAATCTCGAGATCCAATCTGCCCTTCGATCAAACAAGGAAGGAGAATCAAAATTGGCAAGATGGCAGGACACCGAGAAAACAGAAACAAAATTTTCTACCAGAGCAAAAACCGTCGCGTCGTAGGCGGCCGGCAGTAGATGTGGGCGGGCAGCAGGGTTCCTCGGCCGGCGATAGTGGCCTGGTTGGCGGCAGCGGCGGCGGCGTCCTCGGCACGTTTTTTTTCATTTTTTCGATGATAGGAGGGTTGGATCATGGGTGGTTTTGCGGTAGACGCGCGTTGAAGCCTTGTGGTGCCGCGCGTTGAAGCCTGATTTGATACAAACAACCATGGCCACACGATTGGGTTGAAGCCTCTCAGGGTGATTTGTAGCCCTTGATTTTAATAAAGACGGTTTTTTGGGTGCAATTTCTTTGGTGCACATGGTTGGAACCACTCAGCAGGGGACGCTTTTTAGGTGGACTTAGTATAGTTTGGATTGGTCCCTTATAGTAGAGACGTGGTTCCTGATGGACTCAGTGAATCACCGCAAGCACAAAGAGAATCAGTGAATCTATATTACTTTTCTAGAAGATATATAACCATTGTACGCGGAGTGGGACACCCTGATTTTGGTACTGGTTTCTTGGCTTCGGGGAGCAATCGCCAGGTCTGGTCTTAACTGGTTGTACACCTGCCAATGGCCTTAGTGGGTGCCCATGAGTATTCTATGGGATAGTCCCCCTGGATTTTTTGGGACTAACCCACATTGGCCCTCTTGGATGGTCAAATACGGCATTTGATGGGTGGGGACACGACCAACTATTATTTATTGTCTTGTGCTTACATTGCTTCCCAGGAAAGGTACCCGTATATATGATACGCGGAAACTACTCGCTGGGCTTCCTAGCGAAAGGAAGTAGCACCTCTGTACATACCAAAGCTGGAGGTTGGAAGATTCGGCTGCTTTGATAAATTGATTTCTGTGAGGTGAGGAAAGTTTCTTGATTAATTGATTTCTGCGAGTTGAGAACAAGTTTCTTGATTAATTGATTTGTGAGTTGAGAAGAGGTTTCTTGATTAATAGATTTCTGCGAGTCAGGGGAAGTACATTGCTTCCCAGGAAAGGTACCCGTATATATGATACGCGGAAACTACTCGCTGGGCTTCCTAGCGAAAGGAAGTAGCACCTCTGTACATACCAAAGCTGGAGGTTGGAAGATTCGGCTGCTTTGATAAATTGATTTCTGTGAGGTGAGGAAAGTTTCTTGATTAATTGATTTCTGCGAGTTGAGAACAAGTTTCTTGATTAATTGATTTGTGAGTTGAGAAGAGGTTTCTTGATTAACAGATTTCTGCGAGTCAGGGGAAGTTTCTTGAATAATTGATTTCTGTGAGTCGAGACTCAAGACGAAGAATCTAGTTTCTTGATTAATTGATTGTTGCGAGTCGACAACAAGTTTCTTGTGATTAATTGATTGAATTCTGTGAGTCGAGACGCAGAAGTTTCTTGATTAATTGATTGCTGCGAGTCGACAACAAATAACCTGATTAATCGAGAAGAAGTTTCGTGATTTAATTGATTTCTACGAGTCGAGAACAAGTTTCTGTTTAATTTCTGGATAACTCGATATCTCCATTTCCTTGGTATTGAGTTGACGAGTTGTTCGGCTGCGTGTATCCGGTGTTCGATCTAACAAATGTGTACTCTGTTTCGCGTAGTAGGCAGCATGGCAGGAGGGATTGCCGGCAATCTGGTCATGGGGGTCGCCCGTCTGGCCGCGATGAACGACGCCATTCGCACCAACGCCGAGAAGTGCAAAGAGATTAAGCGTATAGCGAATCGCGCCAGGAAGGATCTGCAGGCCCGGAAGGGGAACATAAACAATAACTCCAGTGTGAGGGATGCACTGGATGATCTGGAGGAGTCCATCCGGCGCGCCCTCAGGCTCGTCAGGGCCTGCCAGACAAGGGATCTAAACTTTTTGGAGCAAGTGCTGCGTCTCTACAGGGCGGAAGACATAACGAAAGAGCTGCAGCAGGTACAGGAAGATATGTCGCTGAAATTGGCGGCGGCGACCTTCGCCATCATCAACAACCACGGCATGGCGCCCAACGCTAATCCCGCTGGTCACCGTCCGCCCCAACTGCAACAGGAGGTACCGATGCTTGCCTGCACCTGTCATATACAGTATTTATGAGTACTACATTTTAGCTTCGAATCTTTGATCCTTATGGCCCTTGGATTGAACGGACAACCCTGATTTCAATATATCGGCTAGAATCAACATTATTTCCTGCTTAATACCATTGTAATAATAAAAAATAATCATACTAAATTATACTTTTTATTTATTTTCTAATACAATTAGAACCATATATGCCTGTGCATTGGCAACGGGACAAAATAATGCCCGACCAAATTTAGTTTCACCTCGTCGCCATAACTCAAGGGAAAACAACTCAAGAAGGTTCCATTGCTATTCCACGCCGAGCCTCCAACTACTCAGACACTATTTTTGGTGGTGTGGTCTTTGGTGAGCATCGGAAGGATGAGTGAGCACTCCTTTGCACTGATTTCAGCCAGCAGCCTAACCTCCGGTGCTGGCCCACCATCCATCACCAGAGATTTCCGGTGACCACAACGATCAGACCGTTCCTAAATGAGCAACGCCTTTTCTCAATTGCTCTGCTCCTGTGTACCACTGGAGTATTCTAGTGCCTGTCTACAATGCATGTTGAAATCTCTTTTTTTTTTACGTCTTCTCGTCTGGGCTTCTAACACTTCATGTCATCACAACAGCTCCTTGCCTCCTTGTCCTTCCTTGAGGTGTTGATCACTTGATCTTCAAGATGCCTTTGTCCAAGTCCATCCTTAGGACTAAAACCTTCTATACTAGCAAACCATATTAGACTAGTTGATCATGTTGTCACTCAACCACCAAAATCGCATATGGCTCTAGCTAGGTGCCATTTTTCTAACACAGTCAAAGCACACTACTCGGGTTACCACTCCCATAGGTGAGATGTGGTTTGTACAAAAAAAATACTACTCACATATCAAAGCAACGGCGCATCAGTCCATAATCAACTCAAGTGGGTCTACTTCGATTGGATTCCACTCCCAACATGGCCCTAATACACACCCAAGCCTGAGGTCACCAATCATAGTTGCTGCTATTTTATCTCATCATCAACTAGAGGTTGTAATTAAATTAACATGATATCTGTATAAGCTCACGAGTAGTGGTGACCTTGCCACTCCTCGACTCCAACCGATATCTAAGAATCGATAAAAAATTATGCATGACGACTCCTATACAAGCTTACTTGGACGATTAGAGGTAAGTAACACAAGGTTGATTATGCATGAAGTAGGTTCCAAATCCATCATTCATCTATATAGAGAATATCTCGTGTGCGAGTGTTAACATATATATAGCAATTCCAATCCAAAATAAGGATCCAAGATGCTTAGGTGCTTGCCTTGGTTCTCAACATGGTTCATCAGCTACACGCTTTGGCTCAGGTTCAAACTCCGCTTGCTCCGGCTTCTAATTCAGTGTACGAATGCAATGATGTGGAATAAATAACAATGCCATGACATGATGTATGGCATGCAAACTTGCAATACAAAAATGTATAGAAGAAAGTTTTCATGCTAGCACAACACACCAAACTTATATAGATAAACACTTAAAGTCTAACTAAAAAGAGTCTAGCGGCATAAATATAATTAAGTGGATAAGCTCCTGAAAACGTCATTGCCGGTGATTCTAGTGACCGATCACAATGGCACTTAATCCAAGATTTTCTTAGATCAAGGCACTAGTACAAAAAAGTTTTTTAGAGACAATTAAAATCGGTTTTCAGAGGCGGTTTGAAAAACTGCTACAATGCTACCGATTGTAAAAATAAGTGATTTTCATAGACAGTTTTAAAAACGTCCCTAGGGGCAGTTGACTTAAGTCAACCATCCCTAAAATTAATTTTTAGAATTTTTTTAAAATCATTTAGAGTCTAATAGAAATAAGAAAAAAATATTTTTAATGTAGCCCAAAAACCTGAAGATCGACCACAGTTCACAAGATTTAGTTTCACTTGTTTTGAATAAGTGCAAACACCAGGATTCAAACCCACAACCTCTTCCTCGCGCATTTCATCCTCTACCACCGCACCACACAGTCACTTGTGACTAGTTATACGATGTTGTCTATTTGTACTAATATGTACGAATCTTGTAATAAATATTTTAACTCATAAACAATCTTTTTTTTTACATAACTCATAAACAATCTTAAATTAGAAAACTTTCAACTATAAAGTTTTAGGTCTCGTCGAGTGCTATAACTTTGATATATACATTTCTCCATCCAAGCTCTAGGGTTTTGAACTTTTCTTGACATATTTTCTTGGCGGTTGACATATTTTCTTGTCGTCTGGAAAATCTAGGGTGTGTCCATGTTTTCTTGACAATCTAGCGTGTGTCCATATTTTCTTAGCGGGTGGGCAGTCTAGGAAATCTTCCTTGAGGGCTAGCTACCAAGTAAATTCTATTTTCCATGCCACCTAGCCTCATGCATGACGGTTGACTATCCCTATATATGATGTTTATATCTGCTAGCTTTATTTTTACTCCTAAACCTATGCATCTCGTGAATGTTAGCGTTGGACACCAGAGGAGCATGCTCATAGGAGGCACCAGAGGCATGCACATCAGAGGCCACATCAGCAAGGACATCATCCAATATTGCCTCAACGTCAGAGGCTAGATCAGCATGCACCCCAGAGGTCCGTGGTGAATGCTCTTGCAATGCTGGGACGCCAGATGCCTGTGGTGGAGCGTGCACATGGGAGGCCCGAGGTACGTGCACATCCAAATCGTCGAAGGCACGCGATGCCAGACAATTGAGGCGATGGAGACCTACGCTGATACAAGTCGAAATTGGAAAGGCCTCACTCAGGTGCAGGTCTCCAGCTAATTAGAGCACCGGATAAGACGTATCAATCAACTGTTTCAAACAATATACATATTGGGAGATTTCCTTCCCCTACATGTTGTTTATCTATTGAACCTTTCATATAGCGTGTTTGAAGTTGTAGCATTTCATTGATATATAATCTGAAAGTAAGAGATTGAGATCTGAATGTTCCATACACTTTAATTCTGGATTGTGCAGCATGCTCAGTTTTGTAAATTTTCTTCTTTCCTGGAGAACATATGTGTTTGCCTCTCTGTTATTTGTATACCGGCACCTATGGTAAGACTATGTATTATGCCGTTCCTGTTTCTCTCGTGCGATGGATGCTGCTTTACCATTGTTCAGGGAGCATGCCTTGGTATATATATATGGTATAGTACACACACGGTTTGCATGAACCTTCTCTGATAATTAATGTTTCCTAATGATGTGTGTATCTGTGATTTTTTTTTCATGTGTCACTGCAGGGTTTGAAATGCGTTACTGATGACTTAACTTTCTCATCTTATTAACACGTTAACAATGATCTAGCTAGAACCTTCTTTTCATTGGGAACAGCTATCTAGTATGCAATTGTTGCCTGGTCCTCTTTTCGGATTACTAGCTGTCGAATTCTGGTCAAAGTGCATTCATGTGTGCCAAATAGGTATGTTGGAATTTCCTTTTTCCTAAAGGGAATGCGATGAACACATTCAGAGTTACTAGCTGACCAACTCTCGGGCACTGATTAACTGCTCGAGTCTTCTGATGACCTGTCTGCATACATAGCTTACCTTTTGGTTCATCAGGAGTGCAAAGTTCCAGGGTCTCAGGCGCTGATGCCTGTGCAACCGATCCAGCCCTTGAGCCTTCAAATGGTGAGGAAAGACGAGTAGGAGCACATATGTCGTGCCCCCGTGACATTTCACTTTCTTTCAGGTTCCGAATTTAACACACTCAATTCAGTATGTTGTCAGTCTGCAATAATCGCATCTTCTCATTCAGTGTCTTGCCCTCATGCCCTGTCTGTGTATTTTCAGATTTCTGAGACAGAGCAAAACACAACAAATGTGTTGCTACTGGAAGATATACCCAGACTGATGAAATGCGTCGTCTGGATGAGCGATAATAAGGATCATCAGTTGTCATGTTGAAGTGTCAGCTGCTGTCAATATATATATCGATCTTTCCTCTTCAGTCCATACGAGAAGAACTGAACCATGAAAACATCAAAAAGATAGACGAACTGCGGTTCCAGCCGAAACCCCCATAGCAGAGATAGCTATAATCAAGATGTCAGACATGTCCTGATGTCATTTTTGCCTTGTAATCGCGATTACCCACTGATGTACTAGCATCTAGTCTCAAATTCTTCAAACCTGTACAGTTACTCTTTTCGTTTCGTTCCTCCCCGGTGCTGCCACAGGCAGAGTAATGCTTGATGTCTGTCATCTGCCAATAATATCCACACGCGCTGCATCTCTGAAGATGCAACTTGTACAGAGCATTTTGTTCTTGATAAGCTATAAAGAAATTCCAGGCTATGACACATTCTGCGTTGGAATCGCATTTTGTCCAGTTTTCTGACATTCTTGATTACTGCATAGCAATGAATGTTTTCTTCTCATAAGGATAGCAATGCATGGTCGAATTAAAGATTTTAGATTAAATGGTTGAGTTAAAGTGAAAACACAAAAGCATAAACTGCTCCATAGCAACTTAACAAAGAGTAACTACACCCTGCACCAGCCATCGGTGACGGTGGACATCTCCGGTAATTCTGTAGACTGACTTGTGCTGTCTAGTTGGGGGCAGGATGAGGAGGCGTAGGTCTCTGTCTTTATTTTTAGAGGACTCTGTCTTTTTTTTTGAACCCGGGAGCTCACGCGCTCCACATGTCGACAGGCCATGATCGCCAACGCATTTGTTCGCTAAGCCCGCCCAACTAAACCAGTTGGTTGGGCTTTGCTTGCTCTTGTTCTTGGACCCGCAATCCGCTGTCCGGTTCTCTAGGCATGTTTTGTATAGCTCCACCTTCACCTAAAATTGCACCAGCTATAGCTTCTCCGATAAAACGGGCTCTAACTTCACTAGTTAGAAAATTCTTTGCTAAAATAGCTTCTCTTGATTGTTAAAAGGATAAAATCTCCTTAATATCTTTTCTTTTCTTTTCTTCTCCTTATGTGACCACCTTATCCTCTCTCTCATGCCACTACTAGACCGCACATCTCGGGAGTGTTCGGCTGAGCAAGTTCGGCTTGTTTTTTTTAGCCGGAGCAGTGTTTTTCTCTCACAAAATTTCAGTATGAACAATGTTTCTGGCATGAACAGTGTTTTATTTCATCCCAGCCGAACACTCCCCTCTTCTTCTGTATTCTTCTTCCTCTTCCCAGTTCCCATGCCTCCATGGCTCCGACGCACGTGCCACCACCGTGCCTCGATACCATCGGGCCTCATCTCCCTAGCCCACCCCAAGCCGCGTTGTCGTCCACTGTTCCCCTCCCTAGCCGTGCCGATTCGGCCTCACCTACACAGGGCAAATATGACATCCACCATGCTCCGGGCCCACGAGATCGAGAAGGATCCGGATGAAGCTACTATTTTTGGTTCCTCCACTCTCTCCTCGCTCCTGTCAGCGTGATTCACATGACTTCTTGAGCGGAGTGGAGCTGTGGAGGCATTTGGTTGGGGCTCACGCAGAGCTGCTCATAGAGCATCTTGCAAAGCGCTACCAAATGGTCCCGTTCGCTTCGCTGAAAAAACAAGTCAAAACACTGTTCCGGCTGATTTGTTGTGAGAGGAAAAATACTGTTCCGGCTGAAAAAACAAGCCGAAAAAGACAGATTACAAGAGAAGCGAACAGGGCCATAATATCTCCAGAAGGTTTCAAAAAGACACAAATATATATTTAGAATATTCTCAGACTCTACCAACAATTTTCAAATTTAAGTTCCAAAGAAAAATGAAATTGGTGCAACATCAATGTTGTTTTAGTCCACATAAGATTTTGTTTAAGGTGTAACGCTGTTGCCACTGTGTATTTTGTCGTGTCCTGGACAAATAAACCGGATGGCCATGGTCCCTGACCGGTCAAAATGGGATGGGCCCAATGGCCGGCTCTAGGCACGACCCTAAAAGGCATGGCCCAGTCTGATGCCCACAGGGCTAGTGCTACCATGGACAATACTATAGGGTCATGCCTGGACCACTAAATCGGCCTATAGTGCCACACGGACATGACACGACTAATGGGCCGACATAGTCCCATCTTAACCATAAGTATTGTTTTCATCTTAAATTATAAGACGTTTTAGTATTTCTAGATACATTAATTTTAATATGTATTTAGACATAGTGCAGATCTAAATACATCAGGAAAACTACGTATTTAGAAAATGAAAATGTCTAATAATTTGGAATGGAGAAAATATAAAATAGCTATCAACATCCCTCGGACTTCACAAATCCCCCCGGGGAGATCTGCTTCTCCGAGATACCCCTTTGCTCACTAGCAAAAAAAAAAGATACCCCTTTCCTTGGTCACACACCCTCCTTCTGTGCAACGCTGCTTCGCTCAATCCCGCACCTGCTCGGCCATACCCCGCTTCAAACCCGCCTCCCCTTTCGATTAGGCGATGACTTCGAAGCTTTGATTGCCAAACGGATATTCCCCCTCATATCCTCATGTTGCAGCAAATTATCCAAAACAATATAGGGTATTTATATGCTGGAGTCTTGTTTCATTATTGATCCATCCACCTTACTCCAGTGATGAAAGAATGCGCGTGAGCATTAGGATGTTTTTTAATATAGGATCGATGACATCTTCAATGAACCGGACATATGGGTAACAATACTTAACACTTCAATTTGGCATTATGAAGCATCTCACTACAGCATGTCTCTTAATAGAAGGCATTTTGTTAAAGGCGATTTCTCAAAATGCCTTAATTTCTTGTTGCATAAAGGCACTCTTCAAAAAATGCCTCTAAAAACATTTTTTAAGGCAAAATTAGAAACGCCTTAAGTGACTATAGCAATTGGAGGCGTTTTTTTTTGTCAAACGCCTTCAAAGTCCTGTGCTGCTGTGAGTAAAAAACTTGTAGACTCGATTCACCAGAAGAAGCAAACGACACTAGAAAACACAAAGGAAAATTATAATACAAAATTTTAATTAGCAAAAGAAAAACTGGAGATTGGGAGGGACGGCCTGCCCACAGCCCACGTAAATTGTTTCTCCAGGCCCACGCCGCAATAGCAGCCGCACGGGGAAGGACGGGGTGGGAGGGGCGGCCAGCTCCGGCGACTCCAGCATGGCCCTCCTGCTTCGGCGCGCGAACGGAGGTGCGGCTGCGGCGAGGCGCGCGGCTACGGGGAGGCGTCGCAGCGACGCGGTTGCGCGGAGGTGGTGCGGCGGCGCTGTTGCGGGGAGGCGGTGCGGCGGCGCGGTTGGTGGGAGGCGGCGCGGCTGCGTCGGGCAGCGCAGGGAGATCGTTGGAGTTCGTCGGGTTCGTCGTTTCTTCAAGTGCTCCTCCACCAAGCGCTACCTCCATCGTCGTGGCTGCGTTGGGCGGCTGCTTGGCGGGTCCTGACGTCCACACCCGTCGTGGACGACGACGACGACGCCTCCATTGTCCAACCCCGATCCACCTCCTCTGCGCTCCATCGAACTCGATCTACATCGAGACCTCAACTGCCAAGGTCAGCACCTCTTGATTCATGATTTTCTCTTCCATGTTGTCGTTCCTGATCCCCTGATCCCCTCCCTAGAGAGATGGAATACTAGAAGGATAGATGCGAAGGCAGCGGCGTCGGTGGTTAGGCATGTTATGGAGAGATGTTTGACATGCGTCAGATTGCTCGGGTTAGTCATTGAGATGGGTTTGTGGAGAGATCTGTGCAGGTAACATGTTTGATGAAATTCCACTTAGGTTTGTGTTGCCTTTTTTGGTGTTTACTAAACCGACTTGCAGCCTCATGTATCCTGCACACTGAAATCGATTTCCATGCATGCGACATTTCCCCATCAGAGCTCAACTCTCCATGCGTTTTGGTCTGCGTATCAAAAAATCTAAAAACCTGTGTCCTTGCCTTCAATTCTAGATTTAGTTGGTCAGGAAGTAATTAGAATATGCGATTAGCCTTTGTAATGTTATTTGCATGTTGGTTGATTGGATGATGCAATTCTTCTGTTGGCAGCTTAGGCAGCTCTCACGAGCATGATTCAGTTAACCTGTTTGTGGCTTAATCAGCTGACAGGAGCATGATGCTGGGATTCCAATAGAAAATGTTAACATCTTATTGCTTCTTATTATTGGAAAATTATTTGTTCTGTACTCGACAAATGAAGCTTTGTCATGTTTTCCGTGCTCGATTTGTCTATAGGTTCATGTGATTGTGTCTATATACAACTATACATCTCTAAATGTTTTGGCATGTTTGTTATCCAGATTCAATAGTACCATGATGCTATCATCTTAATTGTTTCAGTTGAATAGCCTGGTTTTAGAGTGTAATTTCCCCTTAAAAAATACCTTGTGTCTAGGCGTCTAGGACTGTAAATGTGACCAGTTTCCCTTCATTTTTTTTTTTGAGAAAACCTATGAGTGACCTCACCTGCTTATTTATTATGTAATAAGCAAGAAATAGTTGGTCACCTTTTTTTTTATTGATGTGTAGCATCTTGTGTTTAGAAAGAGAATTCTGAAATGATGGAAATGGATTTGGTCAGCACTTTGAATCTATGGTGCGTTTATGATTATGGAACCGTTGAAATGCTGTGTGTTTTCAGGGAAAGAGATCTCTAGAGTGACATAAATACTGAGAGATATGAAGAGGACACTGGACCCAGTGTTTCTAAAGGTTCGTTCCCCCTCGCAATATAGCTATCAGAATTCCTATGCCTTGTTTTATGTCATACAAAGTCACCATGGATGCAAGTAGTTCTATCCAATAATGTCTGTAATTTTCTCTCTTCTCGATCTATGGCTACCATGGTTCATGAAAGAGTGTGGCTAAACTGAATTTCAGCGACTTCAAGCATAATACGATAATAAACGATTACCTTTGCTGTTAGTTCCTCCGGTCTACTTTGCTTGGTTTTAGTGAAATTACTTACTCGTGTGGAATTTCACGTAGCTTGATCTGTAATCGG